GCTTCAAGAGGACCATTAGCACATCAAGTGTTCTGGGATTCCCATTCTTCTCAGAATCAGACACAGTTTGTTGTGAACCACACAGTCAAATGCCTTTGCATAATTAATGAAACACAGATATACATTCCTCTGGTATTCCCTGCTTTCAGCCAAGATCCATCTAACATCAGCTACAATATCCCTAGTACCAGGAGCCCTTCTAAACCCAGCCTGGACTTCTGGTAGTTCTCTGCTGATGTGCTGTTCCAGTCCTTTTTCGATAATCTTCAGTAGAAACTTGCTTGCATGTGAAATCAATGATATTGTTCTATAGTTTTCACACTCTGTTGGGTCACCCTTCTTTGGGATGGGAACAAATATCGATCTCTTCCAGTCAGTTGGCCTAGTGGTTGTTCTCCAGATTTCTTGGCACAACTTGATGAGCACATCCAGGGCAGCATTCAGAGCACCAGCTCTTGTTGTTGTTGTTAGGTGCTAGCAAGTCAAATAAAATTCAAAGTGACCCCTTGGAGTAACAGACCTGAACCCTGTCCTATCCTGTGCTGTCATCATCTCTGACACGCTTGAGCCCGTTTCTGTGGTCACTGTGTCAGTCCACTTTGCTGAGAGTCTCACTCTCCTTACTCACCCACCCCCTGTCCTAGCATGATGTTCCTTCCTCTCCAAGGAATGGCCTCTTTCAGCAACATGCCCAAAGTATGTGAGCTATGAAGCGTTATCATCTTTGCTTCCAAAGAGCACTCTGGCTGCGTTTTTCCCAAGACATAGCTGCTTGTTCTTACCCAGTACTTTACGGCACCATGACTCAAAGCCATCAGTTCCTCTGCCCTAGGGGAAGGCGCTCTCTCTCAGGTGACTCTGAAGAAAGGTCCTTGTGTCCTCTGTAGACCCAGCATCCTTTGGAGCTCTCCACCTATCTTAGCATCCAGCTTCCTCTGGGTCTAGGAGATTCCAAGCACAGTGACCTTGGATCAAAAAAGACATGCTCTGCTCCTGGATCCTCTTTCTTAATCATAGGCCGCACCCAGCTCTGCTCACTTTTCTGTTCTCTTATAAGAGAAAAGCTGATGCAGGCCACACCTCCGAGGAACCCCCCCCCCCCCTTCAATTAGATCAGCTGAGTTAAGACTATCGCATCCCACTCTAATCCCCTTGGACCCAACTGGCTCATCATTCCAGAACACATCCTAAGGGATTATTACATCATTACATAACTGCCGAGGGAGTGACTCTGACATATTTTATTATTAGGTACCGTCCAAGTGACTTCATAGTGACCATTTGAACAACAGATCCTCGTGATCTCTGACACCATCAGATCCACTGTTTCAGTCAATGTTTCACTTCATCTCATTGAAGGTCTTCCTCTCTTTCTCTGCCTCTCCACTTTCCCAGCATAATGACTTTTTTCAAAGGGCCAGCCCTTCCTAACAACATGCCCAGAGCATGTAAGACCATCCTTGCATTTCAGCATCCTTGCCTCCAAGGAGCAGCCTGGTTTATTTCCTCAGAGAGAGATTGCTTTGTTCTTTTGGCAATCCACGGGATATTCCATAATCTTCACCCACACAGCTCAGAGGCATATTTTAGGAGTGTGCACAATTTCCAATTCATGATACATACTGAGATAAAAAAATACAAATCATAAACGTTTACTCCGACGAAAAGGAGTTGGACAAACATTGGCATTTCGTCAGCTAAGGTCGTAACTCCACTTGTGGAAGGTCCCGGATTGTCCCGGGAAATGAGAATGAGTTTCTAGTCAGAAAATTCTGTTGCCCTGTGTAGACTTGCAAAGGGAAAGTCTACTGTCAGGGACCTCTCAAGAGTACTGAAGAGCAATGTTGTCAGTCTAGAGACTAAGGTGCACCTGATACAGGCCATGGTCTTTGCAGTTACTTGCTGTGCATCCGAGAGCTGGGCGATGACTAGGGATGATAGAAGGAGAATTGATGCCTTTGAGCTGTGGTGCTGGAGAAGAGTGTTGAACAAACAGGAGAACAAACAGGTCTGTCGTGGAAAGGGTGAAACCAGGCTGTTCCATGGAGGCAAGATTTTGGGGCTCCATCGCACATATTTTGGGCATGTCACCAGGAGGGACCAGTCCTTACAGAGGGACGTCATGCTTGGAAAGGTGAAGGGACAGCACAGGAGAGGAAGACCCAGGATGAGATGAATTGACTCAGTGACTTGGAGCGATGGGATTAGGTCTGTCGGAGACGATGAGATTGGCTCAGGAGAGGGCAGGGTTCAGAGGTACATAGGGTTCTCTCTGAGTCGCAGGTGACTTGATGGCACATAACAACAACAACAAAAAAAACATTTCTCACTAGCATCTCAACACTTCCCCACATCTGCCTGTTGACTTAGCAAAGCCACTGACGTTTGAATTCAGTTTTTCAAGTCACTTAAGCCCCTAATTTAGCACTTTAGGAAACCGACTCTGTACAGCAGTGTTTAGACCAGTAAATCAAAATTAAACATCTGGGAGTGAAAAAAATGCAAAGATGACATCAGCAAATTAGGAGCTGCAGCATCGCATGCGGTGCATACTACAGACAGGTTTTTTTTATTATTATTATTTTATATGTGTGTGTATCGTCAAATCAGATCTGACCGGTACAGGAGGAGAGTGTCCCTCCTTCTTCAGCAGAGCATCTGGTGGATTTGAACTGCACACCTCTGGGATTGCAGTGCAGCTTCTTGCCACTAGGCCACCAGAGCTCCCAGACATTTAAAAAAAAAACAAAAAAAAACAAAAAAACACTAAAACCCGGTAGTTCAAGTAGGTTTCAGAACATGAAGGTGCTACTATGGCTTCTGGTGGGGTCGGCGTGAACGCTGCAGGATCGACAAAAGAAACTCCTGAGATCCCAGACAACGTAGATTGACTTCAAGGCGTTGACCACTTTGCCACGGACAGGAATGATTTTCGGAGGAATCTGATCCTCAATTTGGGACTTGTGTGTGTGTGTGTGTGTGTGTGTGTGTGTGTGTGTACCATCACATCAGATCTGACTGGTACAGGAGGAGATTGTCCCTCCTTCTCCAGCAGAGCATCTGGTGGATTCGAACCGTGCACATCTGGGATTGCAGGGCAGCTTCTTGCCACTGGGCCACCAGAGCTCCCCTAATTTGGGACTTTTTGCTGCAGGAGTTTAGCTGGCCAGAAATTTGAGTGACACTGACCTAATGGCACCCCAACCGGGGATGTAGCCAAGAAGACACATGGACACACACACACACACACACACACACACACACACACACACACACACACACACCCCGTGCTGTACTGGAACCTTCCAAAACACAGCTTATGTTTCTGTGAAAAACACAAGACTTGCCCTGATGGCGACTCATGTGTGATTCAGAAGGGCACTTCCGTTCCCAGTTTTCTTCTCTTCATTGTGTCTGCTCAGAACCATGTTCTCTGCTTCCCATTGTTCTGTAAAGTTGTGTATATAGTTTCTCAGTTTCTGCATGGGGTGACCCTTGTTGTCTTGAGGAATAACAATATAAGTATTCGAAATAAAGAATTTACACACACACACATAAAACCACAAAAAACTAAAACCCACCTTCTCCATATTTCCTTTCAAGGAAGGAGGTCCTTTGGGATGTAACTTTCTAATAGATGTTTTTTTTTTAACCTAAAATCCAAACCCAAATGAAAACTAAAACCCAAATTGCAGCAGTAGGCTTAAGTGTTGCTCGTTGCCGTGAAGTCAGAAGTGGCTTTTAGGTGACTTCCCGCTGGGTTTTTATTTTTTCATGTACCGTCAAATCAGATCTGACTGGTACAGGAGGAGATTGCACCCTCCTTCTCCAGCAGAGCATCTGGTGAATTTGAACCGCGTACCTTTGGGATTGCCGTGCAGCGTCTTGCCACTAGGCCACCAGAGCTCCCTTCCACTGGGTTTTTTAAAGGCTATAAATCACACGAGAGGAGAGTACCCATCCTTCTCCCTCAGAGTGGACTCGAACTATCAGAAAGGCATGACCTTTTTATTTGCAGCATAACCCCCTGTGGACCAGGCCACTGAAGCTCTCTTCTGTTCCCAGTAAGATGGTTTAAAAAAGAAAAAGTTGTAAAGTGAGCTCTGGTGGCCTAGTGGCAAGAAGCTGTGCTACAGTCCTGAAGGTTTGTGGTTCAAAATCCACCAGATGCTCTGCTGGAGAAGGAGGAGCAATCTCCTCCTGTGCCAGTTGGATCTGATTCGATGGCACAAAACAAATAAAAAGTTGTAAATATCCTTCTAGATAATTCAAATAGCTTCTAAAGAACTGTCTGAACTTAAAACCTAGTGGCAGGATATCAGCCAGCCTGATTAAGATTATTGGTTGGGTCTTGGATGTCACAAATGGTTTACGCTCAAGGGAATAATAGCCTAACAGTTGACATTTGAGCCCACTGAATGGTGCCACGGAGGAAAGGCCTGGCAACCTGCTTCTGTAAAGTTGTGCCGGTCAAGGGGAGCTCTGGTGGCCTAGTGGCAAGAAGCTGCACTGCATTCCCAGAGGTACACAGTTCGAATCCACCAGATGCTCTGCCGGGGAAGGAGGGACAATCTCCTCCTGTAACAGTCAGATCTGATTTGACGGTACACGCACACAAAATAATAAAAGAATAAAAAAAAGAATGATAATAAAAAATAAAAAAGTTGTGCCGGTCAAGACAGGCCGAGCGGCACAGTTGCCCTGTGACAGACACATCAGGTCGCCGCGAGTTGCACTTGACTTGAAGTTGTCTAATGACCAGTGGTGTGACGGCACTGTAGAGAGTGTTTTATTTCAGTGCTCAGGGGACACTATGGACTGAAGTCGGAGAGTGTTAGGTGGACACAAGGGAGATGGAGCGCCCCCTTATAGTTTAGAAGGTGGGGTGGGGACCACGACGGAGTTGTCAGGCGGAAGTCTGTTACTGCTTGTTGGCGCAGTGGCGTGGGGGGCGTGAGGTCCAGGAAAGTCTGACCTTGCCATGTCTGTCCCCTCCTCAGCTGGCCTTGCAGACCGGGCGCGAGCCCCCACCCATCTGGCGAGTGCAGAAGGCCCTCCTGCAGAAGTTCACGCCGGAGATCAAGGACGGACAGAGGCAGTTTTGTGCCACGAGTAATGTAAGTTGGTCAGGGCTCGGGTTGTTTTGAGTGTGGGAGGCTGGGGTCCCCCAGGCACGTGGCTGTCACTCACCCTCCATGTCGGGGAGTCCAGGACGCAGATGAAGGAATTCCACCCGGGCCCTTTCTTTCCTCAGTATCTGGGCTACTTTGGCAACGCAAAAAATCGGTACCAGCGCCTGTATGTGAAATTTCTGGAGAACGTGAACAAGAAGGATTACGTGAGGGTCTGTGCGCGGAAGCCCTGGCACCGGCCTCCCGTGCCCATTAGGTACCATGGGGATCATGGGGTGGACCGGGGACAGATTTGGGATGGAGTTTTTGACAGATGGGGGGAAAACAGAGACAGGGAATGAGCAGGGATTGGAGACAGAGAGCGAGTCAGAGACCTAGAGAGAAGGGGACGGAGACCCAGAAGAATGGGGGGTGTCAAAGACCAAGAGAGCTAGGAGGCTGTCAAGGGGGATAGGGACCCTTAGAGAAATGGAGCAGAGGTTGGGGTACAGATAGAAACCCAAAGGTGGTGGGGGACAGGGACCTCGAGGCTACATAGAGATGCAGGGAGATGAGTGGGAGACAGAGATGAAGCTGGTGTGGGCTGCCAGAAAGGTGGACTTGACTGCTGACCACAGGTCCCTTCAACGCTCTGTTCCAGGCGCTCAGGACAGGCCAAGGGTCCCACCTCGAGCGGGGGCAGCTCGGTTCCTCCCCCCAAAGCCCCAGTGCCAGCCCCTAAACCTGACACCTCAGAGAAGACAGCCGCTGAGAAGCCCCCAGAGCCGATGCCCGAGACCCCCGCTCCCGAGCCCCCGGCCCCCGAGAAGCCATCCCCGCCCCGGCCCGTGGAGAAGGAGAAAGAGAAGGAGAAGGAGAAAGAGAAGGAGCGGGTCCCACGCGGGGATCGTGCCCTGCGCAGCGAGAGGGCCGCGGGCGGGCGGCAGACGCGGCCGGAGCGAGGCCTCGCCGCTGGGCAGCCCACCGCCTCCCGGCTGCCCAAGGCCAGGCCCACCAAGGTGAAGGCCGAGCCGCCCCCCAAGAAGAGGAAAAAGTGGCTGAAGGAGGCGGCGGGCAATTCCTCAGCAGGCGGGGGTCCACCCGGCAGCTCCTCTGACTCAGACTCTTCCCCGGGAGCACCCAGCGAGGACGGTAAGGCCCGGAGTCATCGGCGGACACGGGGCTGGGGGACACAGCGTGGGAAGGGGACGTGGGTGCCGCCTGTCAAGAAGCTGCTGAGTTCATTAGTGAGATGATAATGCTTTCAGATGCTAATGAGTCCTCTCCGATTCATAACAAACCCCTGGATAAACAAAAAAAAACACACCCTGCCTTGTGCTGTGTGCTCCACACCCTCCGCAGAGCTCAAGACCGATGTGGGGTCACCTGTCGGGTCGCCTCATGGTGGATCCTTCCTCTCTTTCCACGATCCTCTGCTGTAACCAAATACCTGCTCTAGCGACTGGACCCCTCCCCTGTAACATGCTCAGAATCTCACCATCCTTGTCTCTAAGAAATGATTACACTCCTTCCAGGACTGATTTATTTGTCCCTTTGGCAGTCCATAGTGTAGTCAGTACACTTTGCTGGCACAACAACCCAGAGGCATCAGTTCTTTGTCCAACTTTCAAACATAAGAAACAATTGAAACTACCATGCATTGGGTTGGGCAGGAGTACCTTAGTCCTTATGTTGACATCCTTGCTCTTTGGCACTTTGAAAAGATCCGTGACAGCCGATTTGCAGGTGCATTGTCTAAGTTCCTGACGGCTACTCCAATGGGTGTTGAGTTTAGATCCAAGTATAATGAAACCTTTGATACTCACGATAATTGTGTTCATGTAGTAATGGAATTTTTTTTGCAATGGGACAGTCTGCTGTTAGGGACCTCTCCAGGATGCTGAAGAGCAATGGTGTCACTCTGGAGACTAAGGTGCGTCTGATACAGGCCATGGTCTTTGCAATCACCTGTTATGCATCAGAGAGTTGGACAGTGACCAAGGAGGATAGAAGAATTGATGCCTTTGAGCTGTGGTGCTGGAGAAGAGTATTGAGAATACCATGGACTGCTAGGAAAACAAACAGATGTGTCCTGGAAAGGGTTAAAGCGGGTGGCTCCTTGGAGGCAAGGATTCTGCGGCTCCGTCTAACATACTTTGGACATGTTGTGAGAGACCGGTCCTTGGAGAGGGACATCATGCTTGGGAGGGAGGAGGGACAGCGCAGGAGGGGAAGGCCCTCTATGAGGTGGACTGATTCAGTGACTGGGATAATCGGGATGGGTGTGTCAGAGACAGTGTGATTGGCACAGGACAGAGCAGGGTTTAGGGCTGTTGTACACAGGGTCGCTGTGAGTCACAAGTGACTCAACAATACATAACAACAGTAATAAATAGAATGGCCTTTGAGCTGTGGTGTTGGAGACAAGTACTGAATATCCTGTAAATTGCCAAAAGAAAGTGCAACCAGGGTGCGTAAGAGGCAGGCATGGGGAAGCGCCGTCTCACACTGTGAGCGTGTTTTTGGAGGGGGCTAGTCTCTGGAAAGACATCCTGCGTGGTCAGGTGGAAAATCAGCAGAAGACCCTCAGTGAGGTGAATTGACACAGTGACTGAATGATAGGGCTTCGGGGACAGCAGAGAGGATGAGGATGGCGCCGGAGGCGGCAAGGTTCCGATCAGCCGTTCATAGGGTCACTGTGAGTTGCATCTACCCGGTTCAGTGGCACCTAACACCAGCAACATTAATAGCCATTTGCCATAGCAAACACACCGGTATGCGAGAGCACATACCGGGCCGTCTCTCACGTTCTTTACCCATGTCTGTCTTGGTTGTTGTGTGCCATTAAGTCAGAATCAACTCACAGGTGATGCACATTTACTTGCTTTATTTTTTTTTATTATTGTTATTATTAATTTTAATTTTAATGGCAGTTTTACAGAGACTTTGGATTTCCATTCATTCACTGTTGCACTTTTCTCCCTGCCCACTCCTCCTCCCCCCACTACACTCTTCTCTTTGAAAAGTTAAGGAAAGCTTCTTTCATTGTTTTACACTCCCTCCCCTCATGTCCACCCTTCACTCTGGACTCCTGTCATGACAATAATACCTAATCACATATCCCTTTTAAACAGTTTTCTCTCTCATCTGTTTCAGTATTGAACCCATCTTTCTCAGTCTCCCCCGCAACCCCGATGTCAGTCCCGTTTTACAACAGTGGCACTATGCAGTATTTGTCCTTTTGTGACTGGGATACTTCATTCAGTGTAATGTCCTCCAGGGTCACCCATTTTGAATAATATTTCATGAGTTCCTTGTTTTTCAGTGCAGCGTAGTATTCCATTGTGTGAATATACCACAGCTTCTCTAGCCATTCATTTGTTGATGGGCACTTAGGTTGTTTCCAACTCCTTGCTACTATGAACAAAGCCATGATAAACATGGGTGTGCATATATTTGCTTGGGTCGCAGTTATGGTCTCTTTGGGGTATATTCCCACTAGTGTAATTGCTAGGTCAAATAGTATCTCTATTTGCAACTTTTTGAGAAAGCGCCATACCGCCTTCCACAGTGGCTGCACCATTTTACACTCCCACCAACAGTGAATAAGGCTTCCAGTTTCTCCACAACCTCTCCAGCAATTGTTGCTTGCCTCTTGCTTTATTTTTTACGTATGGGATGTACACACTTTCATGTATGCAACATACATAAAAACAAACATTCCACAGAGATATGTGCTTTGCAAAAAAACCCAGATCCGTCGTGCATGCATTCTTTGTGTAAAAACGTACCATCTCATTTTCACATGGTCTTAGGAAACAGCTCAAAGAGGCTTTGTGGTGCAGTGGTTAGTCACTTGACTGTGAACATGGAGGTCAGTGGTTTGAGCACACTGCCTGCTTCACAGGATGAAGCTGAGAGGTGTTTGCTTCTGTAGAAGACCACAGCTTTGGAGACGCTGTAGGGTGCTTCTGCTCTGTCCTGGGGAGTCTAGGCGGGATGTCCTTGCTGATAGGAGCTTCAGGAGGGAGCTACAGCTCTTCACGCCTGTTCTCTAGATGAGGCAGAGAGAGGATACCATGTAGCAGACTGTGGGGTCTGACCAGTGTTGGGCAGTCGCCTCTGGGACTTCAGCTACGTTGGTTGTCAACACTGAGGAGACTGTCGGGCCCAGAGCCAATGCTATTCCTTGTTACTCTGTGATGCTGGGAAAGAGACATAATAATCTCTGCTTTAGTGACCTCGGCATGGGTCCGTGGTCCATGAAGGTCCCTGCCTGTTGGAGGCAGAGGATGTGAATTCCATGTCTGCTGTATGCCCAGAGCTTAGAACTGTAGCTGGTACACAATGCCAGAGATAATGCCCAAAATACGCGTACCTGTCATGATGTAATAACTTGGTTTTTTTTTAAATTTTTTTTTTATTGTATTATTTTTACGTGTACCGTCAAATCAGATCTGACTGGCACAGGAGGAGATTGCTTCCTCCTTCTCCAGCAGAGCATCTGGTGGATTTGAACTGCGTACCTCTGGGATTACAGTGCAGCATCTTGCCACTAGGCCACCAGAGCTCCCTAATGATGTAATAATTTGAATATATCTGGTACTTTCTGTGTCCCCGGGCGCTCTGATGGCCATAACGCTAAGAAGCTGCACCGCCATCCCAAAGGTGCAGAGTTTGAATACCAGCTGCTCTGCTGGAGAAGGATGGACAGTGTCCTCCAGTGCGATTTACAGCCTCTGCAAAGCCCCCGGAGGGTCAGCTCTGCGTTGTTTCTGACTTGACAGCACTCAACTGTAACAACCAGGTGTCGTTTCAAAGCATTTCCCCATATTTTTTGTGTAGTGTTTGAGTGGAAGTTTTCCGAGTGAATTGGTTTTCCATACCAGTTTTCCACGGTTTGGTCTCATGCCCTTGATGTACAAGCACCTCTCATTTCCCGCTGGATTTCTGGGCCTGTCTGCCCCCTTCCTGCCGTCTGACCTTTGCTTAGATTAGAACAGGTTCTACCCTCTTAGTTTCCTATGATTCATAGTTCTGGGGAATATGTGGTTCTTGAGTGTTGATTTTGCTTTGACAGGTTTATGCTTTTTAAAAGCACCTGGTCAGGGGAGCTCTGGTGGCCTAGTGGCAAGGATCTGCAACTACAATCCCAGAGGCACACGGTTCAAATCCACCAGATGCTCTGTCGGGGAAGGAGGGACGATCTCCTCCTGTAACCAGTCAGATCTGATTTCACGGTACACGCACGCAAAAATAATAAAATAAAATTTAAAAAAAAAGCGCCTGGTGACATCCTGTGTATGTAATGTGTGGAACTACCAGCTGAAAAGTCAACAGTTCGAATCCACCAGGGGCCCTGAAGGAGAAGGATGAGTGTGTCAGCTTCAGGACCTTGATACAAGGTCACTGTGAGTCCTAATTGACTCAGTAGCAATGGGGTTGTGTATATTATTATTTGAATGTATTGTAATTCTGGCTTTAGGCAGAGTCCACTTTGGACTAAATGTTTCTTTGTATTTTTAGATTTTCTTCATTTGTCTTTCCTCTGGAACAAATGCAGCCAATACTATATCTTACGATGACCTCTCACTTCATTTTCTTTTACATCAATTTATTTCCCATAACCCCTGTGTGGTATGTATTGTAGGAGTATACCCATTTTAAAGATGAAGACACTGAGGCAGTGAGAAGTGACACATCTCTTTTTTTTTATTGGTGGCACATCTTTTAAAGAGAGCTCAAGGTGGCTGATTTCGCAGAGTCACACACAAAAATACACCAAGGCAAGGGAGAGCTGTTGAATTTTCCATGCAAACCCACACGTAGCTGTGAAGTTCATGTGTGACAAAGGTTCATTCTTTGTCTTCATTTTTTCTTGTTCTTTGAGCGGAAGTTTCTAAAGCACATGGATGTTCTATTCAGACATCCATGCGCTTTGTTTTATAATGTCAGTTCAGATGCCTACAATGTAATCTCACTTTCCCCACTTCCTCCCTGTGAGTCTCACTTCCACTAATCCTCCTCCCCAAGTCCTTCCTGTTTTCTGGGCTTTCTTTCAGGACACATGCTACACCCTTGTCCATATGTGGTTGGCTGTTCTAAGGAGTTGTTGTCAGGAGCCAGGAAATCAAAAAACGTATTGCGATGGC